CACTGCACTCACTGCGCTACACTGCACTCACTGCGCTACACTGCACTCACCTCACTGCACTCCACCTCACTGCACTGCGCTCCACCTCACCACACAGTGAAGCTCCTGATGAAGGTGCTTCCTAGCACATCCTGACCAGAAAATGCTGATGTACAAAAATGTTAGAAGAGAAAACAAGTTCATTTCATGCATATGGCTTTGATGGCTGTGTACAGCAAAGATGTCTAGGTGCTATGACATGGCTAACATAAATACACTGTCTATTCCCACTTCTGCTAGGGACCCTCAGCCCTTCATGGATTCTGGGAATAAGGGACCTCCCTGCAGAGACAGAGCATCCTTGCTCATACTTACTGAGTCTCAGCAAAATGAAACACTTGTCAGTTATGAGAGTCCTTCTGAGCATTAGCTCAGTCAGTACTTCCCAGCCTGCAACGCCGCAGGAAGACCACGTGGATCCGTGCGGGAAAACCTATTAAGGTGGGCTGGCAGTGTGCCGCAGACGGTAAAAGCACTTGCTACGCAGGCCTGGGGATCTGAATGCCATCCCAAATCCCACGTGGAGGTGAACAAGAATCAGCTCCGTAAAGTTGTCTTCTAACCTCCACATGCATTCTATCATGTGCGAGCGCGCACACACACACATGTTCGCCCACACGAGGTGACGTCACATCATGTACACACATTGATTAAAAAAATTTAAATAAAGCCTGTGAGCTAGAATTTCCCAGACATAGAACAGAATGAAAAGGCCCCCATCTGCCACTTGTACTTCTATTACAGGCAGGAATCATGGAGGACAGAGTGGAAATTCCAGGGTGAGCAATGTGCTCCACTCCTCCAACAAACAGCTCTTCAAGACTGCAGGCCTGGCCCGGGAAAACGGCCTCAATCCGTGCAATCAATATGAAACAGGCTGACTTTGGCCTTGGTGGGTCTGACTACAAGTGATTACTTTGAGTGTTGTGACTGTAGGCATCATGTCGGTGATGCTTGGGGGGCCCATCTGGATGAAGGTCAGTGGGCACCCCTAGGAGGGGTTGGGGAGGATGGACTTTGAGATGCCATCTCACTCTAAATGGGACTGCAGATGTGCCCACAAGTATAACGTGGTGATAACACCTTCCTTGGTGGAACTTAGGTCTTTATTAAAAGCAGTGAATAAATCATGAACTCATTGGAGAAGATATTTGCCAATTAACAAGTAGCAGCTGTTTTTCTTTCTTTTTAAGGGTCTGGCTGATTAAAATTGCATGCTTCATTTAAACAAGAGCCCCATGTACTTTACCTGGGAAGAAAAAAAAAAAAAGGCTGAGCATCCTTTATCCAAACAAAATGCAGGCTTTTGTGATTCATTAAAACACTCTCAGACTGAATGCAATTATCAGCCCACGGAAGCATTTTTGCTTGCTCTGTATAATATGAGCATTTTCAATTCTCTGCTTACTATCTCTGCCTCCTTAAGAGCATCTACACTGAACATTAGGAGAGAATAAGGAACAGCAGTCACCCAGCAGAGCCAGAAACCTGCCTCCAACAAAGACAACACCAGTCCCTCCAAAGAGCATAGATAGCCCAATGAGGCTAGCAGAAAAACAGTCAAGTGCAGTGTTTGGAAGTGTTATAGTGTGTGTGTGTGTGTGAGAGAGAGAGAGAGAGAGAGAGAGAGAGAGAGAGAGAGAAATTATCTACAGAAACCATAAAACTATAATGACAAATTTCTGGACCAGATATCTACCGCTGCCTCTCTGCAGTCAGCTGGGCAAGGAGAAGCACACTTAGCCACATGCATGCTCCTTGTCAGCTGGTCTGCAGGATCCAGCTGGTCTCTACTTTCTTACAGGACTCTACGTGAACTCTGGCTAAAAAGTGAGGAGCCCCTCATTGGCTTGGATGTGTTATTCAGAGCATAGGTCACTTGGAGCCCACCGTAGCTGGTTGCAGTACCAACTGTGTGCACCTCTCCAGCTGGGTTCAGGTGGACTCATCTAGTTGCTGAGAAATGGATCTGTCCCCAAGACATGACAGTAAGCCAAAACAAAACAAAAACAAGCCAACAAACAAAAAAGAGTGTGCTGCTTTTCCTGCTTCTATTTCTGCTACTGAATCTTAATTAACAGTCCACCCACCCAGTCTCATATATGAGAGATGGCCAACCCACCACCCCTCCATCCATGAGCCTTCAATATAGGTGGGAGTAAAAGGGCAGGCGGATATGTAAAACAGAACGGAAGAGGTGCTGAGCCTGCCTCAAAATGGGAAGAGCTCATGTGTGTACAGGAAAAAAAACCCTGCACAAAAAAATCAGCCCTGAATCAACTCTATCCATGAGCATGAGCAGTGGGCAGAACAGGGGACTGGGTACTCCAGTGAGAGCAGAGCAGAGAGTGGTGACTGTGGGAGGTCAGAGGCCCCAGGAGGCAGTGCAGAGGCTGCCTGGGAGAGCATCCAGTTCAGTGTCTCAGCAGAGTTTCTTCAAAGGCAGGCTCTGTGTCTATATTTCCCCTGCATACTTCTCCCTGACCTTGCCCTGCTGGGCTACAAGTGCTTGCGCTTGAACTTCTCTCTCTTTCTCTTTCTCTCTCTCTCTCTCTCACCCCTCTCTCTGTGTCTCTCTCTCCCTCTCTGTCTCTCTGTTTCTCTCTCTGTCTCTGTCTCTGTCTCCCTTTCTCCTTCCCTCCCTCCCTCTCTCTTCCCATCTCTCCCCCACCTCCCTCTCCCCTGGGACTCCAAAACTGAATAACTTCCAAGCCTTCACCATCACCAGATTAAGGAATAGGCCCTCTTGCCTGACCTGCATAATTGACTATTGCATGTTTTCTATGAAATTACCCTGTTTCATGGCTGGCTAAACATCACTAAGGGCCATAGCTGAAGTTCCTTTCCCCCTCTCTGCTTTAACTAACTCTGATCTCAGTCTGTTTATCCAGAGCCAGGCCCACCTTGCCATCCTTGCAACCAAAGGAATGGTAGAGTAGCTCAAAATCTGAATCATCTTCAGTCATATGAAGGATACAGTGGCAGGCCACAGGCTATGAGGTGGTCAGAGGCAGTGTGGCTAGCCTCCCTGGCCACCTCTGTAGCACTACCTCCCTGTGGCCGGAGAAGCATTGATCATGATTTTCTTCAATCTCAGTACCAGAGAACCAGAAGTCTGTGACCAGACAGGAAACACACATGCACAAAGCCATGTACAGTAGACACATGTGGAGGAGGCAATGCTCTACCCATCCCTGTGGCCCACTTCCTAAGAAAGATAAGGCTCACCCTGTACCAAATGCCCATGGACAGGACAAGTGTGGTACCAAGCCAGCTCTCCCAATTTGGGAAAGCATAGCTGGCCTTTCTTATGGCGTGCCGCAAAGAGGCGCGGGCAGTAAACAACACTCTCACAGTGCTCACGCGTGGAGTCCTTTCTGCTTCCGGTGAGGCCTGGGAGAAAGCAGTCCATTTTTACCTCTGACCGGTTTGTGGTTTCCAAACTCAAGCACACTAAAACGTGAACACTGAGCATACGTGTACTCACTAGTTGTAGCCACCGAAATGACTGGGCTGTACTCGCATTCTCCAGAGGGGCTGATGACCTTCAGTCGAAATCTGTACAGTGTCCTTGGTTCTAGGCCTTCAATCACATGCTTTGTCGCATAACCCCTGGACAAAAGGAGACAAGCATGAATGCTTCTGATCACCTTGGCCATGTCCTGGTTTTATGTCATTTCCTGAGACTGATATTTTAAAACCTTTTAAAGATATGTGTGTGCCTGGTGTTATGTTTGAGTGTGAAATGTTTTTTTAGATATTCACACCCTTTCACTGACAACACAGGTGAGATTTTTCTTTTGTTTGGGGGAAGGGTTGTACAAAGAAAAACTTCTCATGTGTAAAGTTAATTTTCAGTTTTATGTAGTGTAGTTTTGCCTTGCCCACATGCCAAGTCGCCTAAACAGCATTTTCCAGTAATAGGTAATTAATTGCAGGTGGAAGCAACTTTTGAATGCTTCCACTAAATGAATCAGTATAGATTTGATCCTGCTTTATTGAATTCCTTGAGGAAAATGGACACTTCACAGATGACGCCCTCTGTACCTTTGTAGCATGTACTGTCTTTGTCCCACAAGGCCTAGCCAGGTGTTGTGTCGCAGTTTCTTTCCTAATTGAAACATTCCATCCAGAAAGGCTCATGAGTATCTGGAAGCAAACAACTCACAAGTCTTAGCAAGTTCCTGAAACTAATAAAATTCAGAAGACCAGAGGAGGGATTTTCCCACCAGTCTGGATACAAGAAAAAAGGCACTCTCCCACCACCTGAGCTGCCTAAGTAGAGACTTTCTGACCGATAGAGCTGCCTGAAAGTTTTCAGAGCTTCAGGATTGTAGCTTTCATCAGTCAGTACCTTTGGTACAGCTACCTTTGAGTCCTCCGTTGCCCTGTAACTAACCCCTCCCCCATACTCCCAGGGAAAATATAAACAACAATCCCATTGGTTCATCAAGTTGAACTTCGGTAAAATTATTTGCAATATGTCATTAGTTTACATTTGTTTATATTTCCCCCCCAAAAAAAATGTTTCACATAACACAGTGCTTGGTGCACAGCTGACATGCACATGTGTTCTTCATAGAAATAATCATGCTAACCCATAAAATTCATATTCAAATTACAAAGCTTCACATTTGAAAGATTGTTGAATGCATGTGAGTTTCAAATAGAGTATTCAAGTAGGTAGATAGGTCTAATGAACTGATAGCTACACTAATTCTACTACAAGCAAAATACTGCAGGGAACAGGACTTAAAAAGTTAAGCCAATGATGGGTTTGCCACTCAGAAGAAAATCTCAGTCTAGCTGAGAAGTCAGGCAACCCAGTACAAACCAACTCTAACATCTCGCATCATGGATACATGATGCTGGTAGGCAGTAGGAGCTAAAGATTTCTGCAGTAGAAATCTGACTAGAGGCTTGGCTCCAGGGGCAAGATGTCTGAGTTCAATAAACAGGAGCTTAGGAAATGAGAACCAGGAAACACCATGCAGTGGCTACCCTACTGCCCTTCCTGTGCCCTCAGGAGGGGACCATCTCAGAGGATGCTGGAACCAGGAGCTGCAGGGACATGCCTGCTTTCTGCTGTGAGGGAGGCTGAGGGGATTGCTCTGCCCTGGTGCACATTCTAAGACCAAAACCGACAGGCTTACATACAGTTCCTGATACGGCTCAATTCTCGGCTTCATTCTCCTACCAGAAGTCTTTTGGGGGCTTTGAGTAGATCTCAAGTATCCCTTTCAATTCTGTATCTAAGTTTTTCTTTCCTTGTGCTTCAAAGGCTTGACTTTTGATGAGAGTGCGTACTATTTCTAACTCTTTCTCTCCACTTCATTCCAGGTTTTGTTTTCTTCCCCTCAGTATACTTCCCCATAGTTCCATGCATGCAGGTTTACCATTGTTTTCTGTCATTTCTCTCTCATCCTCAGCAGAGCTTCTACAGAGGCAGAGGCCAAAGCCATACATTACTATTTACAAACTAACTTAAGGATGTTTGTGCTCAACCTAAATATTTGCATATACGTTCTGTGCCATGCAACTCGAACTTATCCCATGCCCATTTTTTGCAAGGTGTTGGGGTCAGGCAGACCCAGATGAGCTCAAGACTGAGCCGAATCATCCAATATCCTACAGACCCTATCTCTTGGAGTCAGCATCATGGCTGATAGAAGCTCACCTAAAAACATGGCTTCAGGAAAAGGTGGGACTTACCTGCTACCCACAAGGCCTCACTTATTCTTCCCCAGAGCCCGCTGGAAAATCATTCTCTTCTCCAAGGTATGGAAATAAAAGGGTGGCCACAGAACAGAGCCACCCCTGACCCTGAGGTGAGCAGTAGCCTCCATCCTTCCATCCCCTCCCCACCGAGGGCCTGACGCCTTCTAATTTCCTCCTGAGCTTATTTCCCTGCATGGAGAATGATGGGTGGAAGAAGAGAGGGATTGCATGGTGTCCTGCAAGGAAGGTCTCTCTGACTTCCACATGACAAGATGTGTCAGAATGAAATGAAAGGTCCAAAGGATACCAGCCCCAGGACAAAGGGTCTGTGTGCCTCAAGTAGAGTGAGCCTAGGATACGTCAGATCCAAGACATGCAAGGAAAGGTGCCCCAGTGAGACCCTTTCTCCTTCTTCCTCCAAAATTGAAATTTCAGGAGAAATTAGTAACTTGCACAACAAAGTTACTTCATACACCAAAATCCAACAGAATCAAGAAAATAATCTGTGAATTAGACCTCTCTGACATCCAGCCCTGTTCTCTGCTCTTTTCTGGCAAATTCAACCCTGTTACGGTGTCTTTTACTTGAGAAGCCACCTCTCTTCACTCAAAAGAGGATACATGTTCAGGAAGGCCATCAACACAAAAGCAGAGGCCAGGGTCTAATCCTGTGCCCTGGAATGGGGGGAGGTGGCAGAGGGGAGCTTGGTAATAATGAGGTTGGGTGATGAGAAGCCTGTAGTTTCTACACTGGTGTCATTGGGAGCTTGCCACCATGAAAAGTTCTAATTCCCTGCTGTAGAGGCCACATGATCAGATGGAGCAACTGGACAGTGGCAGGAAGTGATGGAGAGGAAAAAATTCTAGGCAGCGTCCGCGATGCTGACTTCTAGCCAACAGAAGCACTATGGTGCCTGCCAAAGTCTATGGAGCAGAAGCCAGTGCCGTCACATACAGGCAGGAAGACGGACACACAGACAGTTGGTTATACAGCAACATAAGATAATAAAGAAATGGTTCTGATGGCATAAAGAAAAATATTAAAAAAAAAAAAAGACATGTGTGAGGAATACAAATATAGTCACCACAATGTGAACTCTCTAAACCAAGCTGAATAAATGTCCTGAAATACTGCATGGGCTGAAAATTATAATCTAGAAAATAAAAACAGGTCAAACTGGGCCAGATTATTCTCAGGAGTAAACTGACTACATTGCTAAGTGAGCATCCTTACTACAGTTTAGATAGGGTTGGTCCCCTAAGGTAAGGGTGGTGTGGGGTGGGGTTATTCTGCACACACCTGCACACATTCAGTCTCCCTTGCTTGTCTGCATTCGCTTACACCTCCTAGGCAGTAGAGGTCCGGTGCACTGGCAGTTTTTAAGGTATTCTGTTTGGGTTTTTGAGATGAAGCCTTGTAATCCTGTCTAGGTTAGTCCCGGTCTCCTAGGCTCAAGTGACCCCTCTGTGTCAGTCTCCCAGGCACCTGAAACCACAGGCATGCTATACTAGCAAATGGTTTAAATCCACCATTAAAAATATCTTGTATGCAACCAGTCCACACACTGTTCTGCTATCTCCCACCTCAATTATTGCACAAGCTTCCTAATTAGTCCTCTCTGCTGCCTACCACCTCTCCTTCCCAGAGCCTCATCTCGGGCAGCCACAGCAGCCTCATAAACCACACAGATCCTGCCTCTTCTGGATGAACAACCTCCTTTGCCTCCCTCAACATCTTTCTAGTAAAAGCCAGTGTTCTCTGGATAAGTCACAGCCATACAGCTGCCTCTCACTACCTTGTCAACCTCACCAATACACCCCACCTCTCCCTTCTCTCCTCGCCTCTCTTCTCGTCCATGTTCCTCCATGTGCTTTTCCATTTGACACGGCTTTGGCCTGGAAAGTACCCTTCAGTATCTCATGCTTGCTTCAGGTCTTGTGTCAAGCCCTTCCCTCAGTGAAGAGTCCTTACTCCTGCCCCAGGCCCCCGACTTGTCCTAGGCTTTCTTCTTTGGGACTTACTAACCCTGACACAGTATGCATTTTTACTTACTTGTCTCGATTATCAGGTGTTTTTCTCAACATGGGGAATTTCTATCTGACTCCACATCTCTGGCTTTTAGAACAGTGTTCAGTAGGTCATGGGCACTCAGGAGTACTTGACGATGGAATGGATTAAAAAGCACAAGAGGATACCAATTGTCACAGTAAGGTGAAGCAACAGTAAGGCAGCAAGGGAGATGTTCCTTTGATTTCGATTATTACATTGGCAGGATGGAGGGATAGAGCAATGAGGACACTTAGTCCACAGGGAGAATAAGCAGCACACATAGAGAGGAAGCCAAGGCATATTCAAAAGAAAGCAAGTCCCTACATCGGAGAAAGTTTCTATTCATAAATAAGAGGTAATAAGGCAAGTGTGGGCAAGTTACACACACACGGGCACCATATATATCACACAGAGAGACCACACATACATGTATTTACACGTGCACATGCATGCACACACACGGTTTTAAAAGAAAACTACCTTCACAGTGGAACAGACACCATGATTAAACACCACCCTAGGGAGTCAGGCCCTAAGGTGTATGTCCTCCATCCTTCATACAAACAAGACCCTTTGAGGTGCTATGACAAATGAGAGAGTAAAAAGAAACTCAAGAAACAGGCAGCAAGGAGACTCATCTCACTGGCAAATGTCTGGACAGTCAGGGCCTGGGACACAAGGAAAACAGACAGAAAATGGAGTGCAATGCCCTGGCTTTGTGAAGGGGAGCAGAGGGAGAACCCACAAAACTCGGTAGCTGTACATCTGAGAACTGTAAGGGAAACCCAAGCCAAAGACCACCCCAGTGATGCAGACTACGATGTGACCAAGCTGACAGAAAAAAG